ACATTCTTAAAAATATACAAAAATTTATTTGAAATTTATATTGACTTAACCATATTATATAAGTGCGTGTTATTTATAATATATTTAGAAATATATATCGTAGAATTTTAAGGAATAGGTTTATTAGACAAAGGCTTCCTGCACTGATTCTACTTTTAAAATGTTATTCTTCATAATAAGAGTCTAGTTCTGAATAGTGTATGGTTATTGTCACGACACTTATTCAAACAAAGAATTTTTATGCTTTATACTTTAAGAATCTTTTAGTGATCGATATATCCATTTATGAAAATCATGCATCAGAATATTTGAAATATTTCAAAATTTAATTAATTAAAACGAAAGTGAGCTTTATTAAACAACTATTTGACTTTTAATCTCAAAAGCATAATAATAGCTTATTCTCATTTCCAAAATTCAACATAAATTTCGAAAGAATGTTAATTAGTTAATGCAATTTACGTAAATGTTGTAATTTATTGTGATAATGCAATTAGTGTGAGTCAATGTAGAACCTCGAAATATGACATACTAATTGAGATATTACACTGAAAAGGTGGGCGTAAAATAACGGGATAAGCAAGCCTATGACATAACCCGTTTCATTTGAAACAGAGTGTGCCATTGGCTCTACAGGTGAATTGTAGCCAATTTACCAGGCAACGCTGTCCATTATTAAATGTTTTGTTTAATGAATCGATCTTATTATACAACGTAAACTTATTATAGGATGAATATACCAACGAACAATTCTACCATAAATTGTTATTATATGTGATCAATAAGTGTGCTCTTGTTCATTTCTTTAATAACGGATAATAGTGTAAGTCACATTGAAAATATATTTCTTTATAACGAAAACTAAAGAAAATACAATATGTGTAACATATGCCAACTGTAAATAGTTTAATGAATGAAAATAAATATATATGCAATGCACAACTTCATTTTCAAAAACATCGAGTAAGGAATGTTTTTTATGTTTTCTGTGTTGCTTTCGTCTTTTTATTATATAGTCCTCTAATGTGTTCATAACTCATAGTGTTTATGACTCTCTATCGAGCATACATTGTTTTCTACCAAAGTGTTTTTGTTCGTTATTTCCACTTGCAATAATTTATGTGTGTACAAAGCGAGAAAGCAAATATGTGTAAAAATATCATTATGGTCTACAACACTGTATTCTAAATTTCTATTAAAGTATTCTCTCGTAGCTTCAAACTATACATTTGCATGCAAATCGCATTAAATTTAAGAAATTAATTCACAGTTTACTGTAAAAAGTAGAATGACATTAATTATATGTTGCACTAGTCTCGACGTAAGAAGATAAAAGAATTAAATAGTTAAATTTAGTAAGCAATGAGAATTTTAAATGTGGTTGTAAAAAGCAACAAGCGATACAACTTGCAAAAACTAAAATGTAATACAAAAATAATTAATATTGAAGACAAAACCAAAAGAATATTCACAGTGCAAAATTCCACAACAACTGAAATGCAGCAAACATTTATTAATTTTTTTAGACATTTTTGAAACATAAAACTTCTTATTCGGTAGAAAAATGGGGAATTTTATTTCTAAATGTAGAACGTATTTTTCGACAATTAGCGATTATTTTAAAGCTGCAATTTCCGACAACGTCTGGACACGATCCGATTGTTGCCTTGTATATAACTTCTATCCGATGATATCTGTTTCCACAGTATTTGGCATCGACCTGTTTGAGACTTGCAGATGTTTTCAAGATCAAAATTTCAATAAACATAGAAATTATAATTTATATACAAATTTCATCGAGTACGTTGTGTGGCATTCCACACTTCATACCTTCGTTTGCACTCTGAATAAAAATTTTATGTGCTCTAAAATCTTTCATGTTTTTGGGAAATACTCTTCAGAAATGAGTATTATTGTTTTCATTGTGAATTTCTACATCGCTCTTCAGTTCTCAATTCTAAGAAGAAAGAAGATTACAGTTCATTTTATGAAAAGCACTTACGAAGAAGAATCGAATTTTTCGGTGAAAGCAAAAATTTCTTTTTTTCGAAGCTTATTCTTTATTTTCATTATTGCTTTTGTCATCACCACATTTTTAACAACAGTTGTTTTATCGACAATAAAAAAACACCGTGGAAGTCAATTTGAAGCGGTTTATTGTCCTACAGCAATTTCTTTCATAACTCTGCTATTCTCGGGACAGATAATTTCAGTGCTTTTTATACTTTGTATTGTTTTAGGAATCGTAGCGAAGAGACTGGTGAAGTTAACTGAAGAATTAGAAGGAATGAATGCAAATTACTACTCATTAAAAGAGAAATTAGAAGAATTCTGTGATAAGCACACAGAAATATGGGAAATTTTCCAGATGATTAATAACAGGTGGAAAAATCTGTTTGCCTTAATATACGTTCATTTTCTATACGAAACATGTTTTGTGTGTTTTGTTTCAATATTTTCCGACATAGAAATTTACATTCGGGCAGTAATCAGTGGAATTTCCATACTCTTATTATCTGGATGTATTCTGGTTTCTTGGGCTCTTTCATATTTAACATCATCGGTAGGTAATATCTTTAAATTTATTTCGAAAATGATTAAATTTGCACCTTTTCTGAGTACTTTGAATTGTAAGCGCTCAATCTTCTTACAAAAGCGTAATTTTACTATTATTATTAGTAGCAGATTCGTTTAAATATATAAAATTTTTCAAAATTTTTACATTGTTAAAAATTACTTTAAAAGAAACTTTTTAAAAGAAATATATTTTACTCGTCCTATTTATTTACATTATCTAATTGTACTGATATAATAATCAAAAATACTTGTAATAATTTAGTGTTTAGTTTTATCTGGTCTTTGCCTTATTTCTGCTAAGTCTGAGCAATTTCACATTATTTCAATAATCACAAACTTCCACTGTACAAATAGCTTGAAAGAAAATTGCTGAAAATTCATGGCAAACTCTTAGCTAGACGGTCAGATGGCCGAACGGTCAATGTGGTAGCCTTCCATTCTAAGGGACCCAACATAGAATTCAGAAATCTTTCAGGTGTGGTCAATCCTGCTATCCCTCACCACTCAGTCTGTTCTACAATCGGCCATCTGGGTGTTGAAGGAATTTAGGATATGGCGCCACATATTGTATATGTAGCGCCATATGTAAGAGGATTTTATTTACTCTGTCTTATGTGATTTTTTAGCAATTGTAATAAACGTATTATATGTGTGCAATTTCTACTATTCTTATCTTTAAAACGTCAGACATAACATCTCAGAAGCCTAGATGTTTTCTACCCTCTTATAAACATTTCGTGATATTACTTGAAGTTTACTTTTTTTATTTTTTTATTTTAAAGATTTGAAATTTCATTATTAGTCGCATTGTATTCTGCTATACACTAAAAATAATAAATTACATTTCTCTGATAATTATTTATAATAAAAATAACTTTCGGCAGAAAAATTTTTTAATGGGCAGACATTTGGCATCACAGTTCATGTTCCAAAATGCAAGGTTACTAACATTAGTGTTTGATTTATAACTGCATGCAAAAAACACAAAACTTTCAACTATGCCATTTTGTCCTGAAGGTTTTAATGATTAAAGTACAATGCGATGCTTAAACTCACATTTAAAAATTATAAAGCAAATTATTATTAATATTAAAATTAACATTGAATATTAAATTAATACTTTAATACATTACTTTTCAGATCTACGATAACTTCATTTCAATACAAAAGTTTTCTTCTAAAGAATTATCAGTAGAATTCAAGTTTAAGGTAAAATATCATTTAAATATAATGATTACCTAATATAAACAATGAATGCAATTGTTTCATTTAAACTATTGTAGATAACGTGTTTCATGAAGAGATTTGGAAAATCTTTAATGGGAATTTCAATCGCAGACTTTTTCTATATAAGAAAAGATTTCTTGAATAGGGTACGTAATTTATAAATACTTGTTTTCTTGACGTACATTTAACATTAATTTCCTTCTAATAGATGGCAAGTGCATTATACTCCATATTCTCTTCGGTGGTACAAATAACAGGAGTTATGACCAAGAAGAAATTATGTAATTCGACTTCTAATTTCAATAATATCACATTTAATTGAAGAGTAATGAAATTTTTAGTATCTCAACCGCATTACTTCATGAAATGTATAAATGTGAAGTTGTAAGGACAATGTTAGTAACTTTTAAAATACAGATTGTTTGGGATAAGTCACGTAGCAATGAGTCTTAAAAGGAAATAGCAGTGAGTGCAGTCATGCTCGGATTAACAAATCCAAAATTAATTAAATTTTTATATTTTTTTCCGATATGGAATTTTCAAATCTTTTCATTTGATATTAAGAGGTATTGTAAGTACAGAGCAAACAATGTGTAATTAAATTTGTGAGTTGTTTATTTAATCGCTTATAATAAATGAAATAACAAGTTTCAGTAATGTCAGCAGATACATACTTTTCTGGATTTTTTACGCAGAGTGTCCTGATAATACTTAATTTAAAAACTGTTCATCAAAAAGTCATAAAATTTCAGAGATGCGTTAATACAACAATGGAAATTTTTTATAGAGCAAAAAAGATAGTTCGAATAAATACTGCTAGAGAATGATTTTTAAAGTATATTGGCATGCAAGATTCCCTGGCATGAATTAATGCGATTTTTCGCTATGAGGCTATCTCAATGACTCGGTACATCATAGCATCTCTGTCAGATGTTAATTTAAAGACAGCACAGATTGCCATGTGCATAACATTCGAAAGCACACACTGAATTCAACCTTTGAACATACTGTTTTATGATTTCAAATGGTAGCAGATAATTGCGCTTATAATGTTTTGATAATGTTTTGTTTCCATTAGACAAATAAGTTGTTTATCGATAGCTCATTGTTATGATTTGTATAAATGTGAAAAACCGAGAGCAAAAGGAAGTTATGTATTGATCGCTTACGGTAACGAGTTGGTAAAACTCGCTCACTTTGTCACCGCATGGCTCTCGGATGTAGTGTCGTCGGGATAGCAAGATTCTTCTAACGTCAAGACCTGACACCAGTAAGGATAATTAAAACGTTGCATCCTAACTCGCGATATGTAAACAAATGTTGAATAGGAGGGTGGATTCGAAGTTGAGTGGGGAGCGCGATGTGAAAGTGAATAGGGCGTTTGGTATTCACAAAATGAAAAGTAGCCAAGTTATCAGATAACAAAACTTTATTACATATCTAAGCCCTAGAGTACAAGATAAAACTACTGCAACAAATACGTATATATACTAAACGCAGCGCTCGCGAGGTTCTAGGAAAATATTTTCCATTCTATCTACTTCTAATGGAGAGAGAGTTTACAAGTGTTTTGACAAACTACTAAATATTTCTGGAAGAGAGATTTTGTTTTTTATTGCAGGCGAGACTTAAGCTTCGCGTAGAGTTTGATAACGTCTGCCGGAATATAGCGAGAGGGAAGACTGGTGTCTGCCCCGTGATCAGAGTTCGAGCTCTTTTTATCCACGTTAGGCATGCGAGAATGATCAGGTAATCGGCTGTTTGGAAATGAAATTGCAAATGTGGAGTCATAGGTGAGCTGTCCTTGATGCCAAGATGCCGTTTAAACGAAGCTGTTAATATAATATATTGTTCGAGTGTTAGATTCATCCTGTTTATTCCTTCGAACGTTGACTTCCTCTTTTTTAACAATAGATTGTTACAACTTCTTAAAGTTTGTTGATGAAAAGAGTGACATTCAATCCATTTTCTGTGCGATGTTTTTTTAACGATTGCGATGAAGAAATGTGTTAAAAATGTCATTAAATTATAGTGTAATCAGATCCTTGCTCTTACATAAAGCTATAATTCGCTCTCTATTGAAAATTTTTAGAACTGACTTTCTAGCTGTAGAAAAAGTTCTAATTATCTCAAGCTAATCCCAATCTTTCATGACATTCTTATTAATACTTTTTTTGGTAGACACCAGGAAAACGTCCATTTTAATTTGGAACATTCTATACAAGTATATAACACAGACAATAAATTGTATTAGTAAAAAATGACCCCCTTAAAGTTTTTATATTTTTAGACTTGGGACTTTGAAATATCGTGAAATGCAATATAATTCGGGGGTGTTTTGTATATTTGGATGTTTGTTTGTGTGTGTATGTGTGTGGCGACAGAATTTTCTTACTTTCTTTCAACTTAATAAGTCTTCTGCTTTTTGCGAAAATTTGTGAAGTATTGCATAAGGGTTGCATATTGAGGAATTGTTGCTGTTAAATTTTGGTAGATAACGATAGTAAGATGCGGAAATAAATAGGGTTTGTGGGTCATATGCATCGATCTTACTAACAGTATTAAAAATTGCCCAGAAAGTTAAGCGATAACTGAAGGATTTTTTTATTAGATTGTTTTGATCAATGATGCCAAAATTGTTAAAAGTTAATTCAAATTCTATTGAAGAATTAAAAGAAAAAAAAAACAGGTCACTGCAAGACAAGTAAAGTGTAATTTAAAGGATATTGTATGTAATTATTATTTTTTCGTTTCGGTCGAGATCGAAATACTGACATGCCAGCACATTTACTATATTTATCATCAAATTATGTAGTGTATCGACAAAGAATTGAAGAAACTTAAAGCAATTTGATATCTTTAATTTTTGTTTGTATTGAATCATGTTGTCTAACAGATGAAATGAATAGATCAGGTGAGATAAGTGACAGAAGAAGTCCTTTTTAAATTAGTCGCTTGCCAGTTAACTTTTGTGCATCTTTTCTTTTAAAACCTATTGTTTTCGCCTCTTGTGCACGTCTATTCCCATCCCAATGGAGTATAATGCTACTTTGATTATATTACATTCAATGACAAATATCCGTTGTACATCGGGGAAAAAGCATCAGGTATTACGCAGATCATCTTACGTACTGTATAGCAGTATCTAGTTTTTAGCTTCACACAAATTTAGATTTAAACTTGAATGTAAAAGGAGAAGCAAGTTGACCTCAATAAACCATCAACGTAACAATACGTAGTATGAATATCAACTCTGGCCAGTATCATTGTCCACCAATAAAGGAATGCATAAAATCAATTAACACTGAATGTTGACCACGGGTTTGACCCTTACGAAGGGCCCAGAGAAATGTTCGAGTTTGCTTCACGTGTTAAACATAAACGTAGGGATCCGTATACAAATGGCGGTTAATGGTTCCTGTCTTTCACCGTTTTTCTCTACAGACCCCTTTCGGCCAATATCTCAATGACTCGGACTATCTCAATGACCCCTTCTCTACAGACCCCTTTCAGCCACATTTCGGCTAATATTTCTTAAGATGGCAAAACATGATGCATAAGTTTGTAGTTGTTGTAGCTGTTAAGCCCTTGGGAACTTGTTAATGCACAAAATAAATAAGGGATTTCTCAGAAATGTTTTTGTACATTACGACGTTTGCTGGATATGTTGTCACCGTTAAAAGTGCTGATAAATCTGTCAATTAATATGATCAAACTAAAACGATGTGAATTAATAATGTATATACAAGATCATTTATAGAAAACAATCTGTAGTCACATTAGTTAATACTGCATAGTAGAAAATATTATATTTGTTGATGTAGTCGCAAACAATATAATAAATTACACAATGTTCAAGAATTATATTAATTAACTATTAATTTGTCTCTAAAATTAGAAGTGTTTAGAAATTCAATAAACAATGAACAACTGCAAACAAATACAAGACTTTGAACACCCTTGTGTGATGTCAGGTAAAACAATTATATAATTGCAACATATAAAAACATATATTGTATAATTGCAACATATAAAAATGAATTTTTTGTAATCCTCGATACCTAAAATATACTATAACTTTCAAATAAAACTTTGTTATCTAACAGATTCCGCGCTTGTTTGTTTTCTAATAACAGAAAATGGGCATCATTACAAATACATGTATGCTATTTAAACAATACAGTAGAGCGTCGTTTATCCGAATCAATTGGGGACTGGGGTTGTCCGGATAACTTATTTTTCGGATAATCAATTATGTACGAAAAAATATATTAATTTATCCCGTGTTGAAATTTTTCTTCGTTGCGTGTCGCTTCGCGTTGTACCCTAACGAAAACTATTGTATCGTTAAAAATTATNGTCAGAACATTCTTAGCTCCGCCCACTAAGCCACTCAGAATTCTTAGTTGTTCTGCGTTACTGAACACGGCCATGGCCAAAGATTACAGCGCCACAGCACTGGCGAAAATTTAAATTTGTCAACTGAAATTCCTTAGGATAACCGACCTTCGGATAAACGACTCTCTACTGTATTACCGAATAGTTTTTTTGTTTAAATATTCTAGATTGTGATTGAAAAAATATCATCGCTTTTTGCAAATTGTTATCAAAATAGAATATCGAAATATAAAATGAAAAATTACATGAATAGAAAAGTTAGACACTTCTGCAATTAGTGACTTGATATGTTTTCTCACATACTATAAATACACTAGGAATTTTTTATTTTTTTTTTACATTGAAGAATCTTCTGTTTATCGAACATTTCGACTTCTTAGTTTTAAATAAAAACATTTCATTTTTCCCGTTTTATAGAGGATAAGGTGGTATTATGCAACCCCATTTTCATTACAGTGAATTGTAAACAAAGTATCTTACTAAATTATCTTACAAGGTATTTTACTAATTTTACCTCACTAAAGGCCTCTTATAATTTTTAGTTCTACGGCAACTTTTGTGATATTAATGTATTGGCAATTTGTAATTTGAATTTCACCTACAAATTCGAGGTAAGTTTTGTTACAGATTACATATTTAATTGTAAAAAATATATTGATACTAAATTACTTTATTCCGTAGAATCTTACATTTATGAAAAGGTATGGAAAGATGCCTATCGGTTTTTCTATGGCAAGATTCTTCTTTATGAAAAAGGATTTTTTCATCAGAGTAAGAGATATTTTATATATTTGTTTAATATTTTTGTAAAGTATAACCTTTACATTTCAATGCAGAAGAAGATTTTTCTCATATTGTTTACTTGTTAAAATTTTTATGGCTATTAGTTGTTTCTCATCTTCAGGTTTTTCACGTTAATAAATTGTATTTATGACATCTAAGAATAAGAGCGTTATGCAAAATATCTTTAATTTCAGGTGAAAATAAACTATTTTGTTTGAATTTTTTCATTACGATTTCCTCTCGTCTTAATCGAAGTCGTCACCAGTATAATAAGTAATATTAACCCCTTAACGAACACCTGTTATTAATTATGATGTAATTAAGCATAAAAATACATTAAAAATACTTAAAACTGAAAAAAAACGAAAGAAATGCGATTATTTTGAAGAAAAAGCTTAGAAGTTTAAGTTCCTTTGTCTCGCCTTTCTGCGAAATTTAACACATGAGTCATTGTTTACACAGCTGGATGACCTTGAGAACAGCTGGAGTCGGATTTCCGGGGCATTCTCATAGACGTCTCGAGAGGACAAGGGTTTAAAGAAGGGTGAATATGAGCGACGCCTATATTTTTAAATATTTTTAAAAAATTAAGATTTTAATTGCGATTTTCTACCTCCCTAATTAATTAAATTTATATATAATAAAATCGATTAATAAAAAAAATTTAAAAAACTATCGGAGGTCGTTTTTGACATTAGAAACTAGCTTTAAATAACTTTACCTAAGGAAAATCCGTGCACTACAACTTAGGAACCATGAAATAAATTTGATAAAACTCCGATTAAAAAACAATTAAGCCTCAATCGAGCCTCATCAAAGGCTCATTAAAATCGCGATAAAATTAAACAAAGTCTAAGTAGACAATATATTCAAACAAATACTGTATGTTTAAGCTATTAATTTATTACTGATGTGCATATAACAGTAATGTTGGAAAAACAAAAAAAAAACGTAAACAATGTAATATTAATTCTGCAGTTTATTATACTAATTCACTGCCGTTGCTCGTTCGTTTCTTTCGTTTCTCGTTGTCGTTTTTTTTTTTGTGATTTTCTCTGTTTTCTGTTATTGCAATTAGTTCTTGTCTTAAAATTACTTCAGAAAATTTTGATT